TGAGACGGCTCTTTTCAAGTTGAGCCGACTCCTTGCTATGTGGAGCCGCCTCCACTCCTCCCAGTCTCCATCTTCTTCGTCTCCGGCTACTTTCTGACCTTTCGATTGCCCTTGTTAAGGTTCCTAACCCTCTGTTCTAAGTTTCAGACAGTCCCAACTAATTTTAAGAAGTAATTATGCATCACTAACGTGAATCAAAACAAGTTTATATTCAAGAAAAATCAAGAACTGTAAAAGCAGTTTTAATTCAATTCCATTCCATGCAATTCAATTCAATTCAATTTAATTCAAGCATGATTAAAAGATAAATTTTAATGTCTGTTTACATCCTAGAAACTACCTAGGCATACACAGAACACAAGTCAAAGGGAGAGAGCAAGAAATATAACTTGCCTTTGAGATTTCGGATTAAAACTCTCAACGTTGTCTTCCTAGATTTTCCGGCGACTCTAGTTGCCGTCGAAGCTCTCTGCTACATTGTTCTAGCCTGCACACAGCCTCCTTCCTCCTCCCTGGTCTGGTCTTGGACTTTGGCCAAAACCCTAGCCCTGTTCTCTTTCTGTTTATCTCTCTCTCCTTACATCTCCAATAAGGACGTGAATAGGGTTTTCCAAACCCTAAGGCAGACATATAATAGATATATATAGGCTTATATCAAATATAACCTAATCCTAATTCGATGCATACCATAAGTCCAAAAATAAGTAAAATAAATCATAAAAATAAAATAAAATAAATTTACATATGTGTGTAAAATACAAACTATATATATATAAAAATATTTACTGACTATTAAAATATTATCATTAATATTAATTATTTAACAATAATGATAATACTAATAAGTTATCCTCCTATACATATATACTTATACATATATGCACAACCACCCATGGGCAATATTCGTACCCACTACACTTCCTATACAAGTAACCCACGCAACCTAGTTGTTTGGTCCAGCACTACTATCCATCTCCATACTCCTTTTTAAAATAAAATTAAAATTAAAATAAAATAGCAAATCATTTAAAACCAATAAATAATTTACAAGAAATGTCACACAATTAATCAAACAACTTCACACAATCAATTAAAACAAAACACACAATTAAATCACGTATTACAAATAACAACTAAGCAATTAAATTCCAATTATATTCTTTTGAAAATTAGGGGTATTACACATAATATCATATTGCATAATTAAAATAATTCAACCAATAATACTATGTTCTTAAGATAGATTCGTCCCGCTATGGTGCTAACGGACTCAGTGGCGTCTATCTCTCATGATACAATGGTCTATATCCACTAGTAGTAGCACTACAAACTCGTGGATACTGCGAAACTCCTCCGTGTAATACTCTCTCTGACTCAAAAATGCATCTATACTCTATAAATGTTAAATTGGATACAATCTGAGCCAAATGGTCCAGACCATTCTTAATATGGTTCGATAAAATTGGATTATGGTCTAAGTGGCTCGGACCACTTAACCTGTGGTTTTGAACCCACTTGAGTTAGGTTCAAGTCCAGAGAGAGAGAGATAATAAATTAAATTGAACCATTTGTAAATGGCACCTAATAGGGTATTTATAGAAATAGAAGTGTCTTTTCAGATTGGGCGTGTCTCTTCATCATTGGATATTGTCTCTTCATCACTAGATACAACCATTTAAATATGTCTTTCCATCACTAGACACAACCATTTAGAAGTGTCTCTTCATCACTGGACACAACCACTCTAATTGGTTGTAATGGTTCACATGGTGTCTGTTCACCATTAGACACATTTATTCCAATAGGTTGCAATGGTTCACAGAGTGTCTGTTCACCACTAGACATATCCATTCCAATAGGTTGTAATGGTTCACATGATGTCTATTGGTTATGAGTTGTATCTTTTCATTCTACAATCAATCATTGATCACACATGTTCAGTCAAAGGCATCTATTGATGACTAATTAAACAATTTTCATTCACAATTTCTAACAATTGCTCCATTCACCCTCATCCTCTTATCTCTCTCTCTCTAACTCTCTGCCTCTTACAATCACGTTCTTTAAACCCTCTTGATTCTAATTATGCATCTATATATATATATATATATATTAAAATACTAATCCTAACCTAAAACTGACTACCCTAATAATAATAATAATAAAAATAAAAATAAAAATAAAAATAAATAAATAAAACTATACATAATTGTAGATATAATAATACATGACTTAAAAGCATGAAATTAAAATATAAATAATGATATCTATATGTGTGTGTGTGCGCGCGCGCACGCGCGCATCCCCATCCAATATCACGGGCCTTAAGTCTTCATTAACACCTAAGCCTTGTCCAATTAGCCCAAACCTATACCTTTGGGTTCTATAAACACCAAGCCCAATCCATACTTAGAATAAAAATAACTAAAACAATTTAACTAAATAAATAAATATTTAAATTAAACAATTAAACTAACTACACAACCAACAACTACTACTAATCACATCATACCACATAATTAATTAAATAATACAGAACAATTAAACAATTAACTAATCTACACAAACAATTAGTCAAATTATTAAATTAAATACAATAAAAATAAATAAATAAATACTCTGAAAATCAGGAATATTACAAAACCTTCTTCCCTCATTAAAGGGACGAGAGGCCGATTACACCTCTTCTCTTTGTAAAAGGGACGAGTAATCAACTACACCCATTACTAAAGGGAAGACACGATGAAGATCAAGTACCATTTGGCAAATCTTTTGCTTTTGCTTTTGCTTTTGCTTTTACATAGAAAAATCATAAATAAGTACTTTTATTTATAATAATAAAAAAGATTTGCGTCTTAAGTCAAACAATTTTTCTAAACGGGTGTCACTCTCAAGTTCCGCGGACTGCACATGCTCTTATTCCCAATCCCATTATGTATGATTTAGATTTTACTATTTTCACGCTCCCACTCTTGCTTTCACTCGTGCTCCTACACCTGCTCTATGTGACTTAGCATATGTCATAGATATTTAAGAGCAAAATGGAAGGAAATAAACAATAGTAGTATAAAAATGAAAAATATAATGAATCAGGCATTAAAATGTGAAGTGGAGTGGTAGTAGAGTGATGAAGAAAACCATGCTGTCATTTGAAAAATTATTACAAAGTTTTGGAATTACTGGTTCCGAACCAATCATGGATTTGGTTTGAAATTAATAATTCCTAATTTATGTAATAATTTCACTGTCTAGTATACTGCGTAACTAGAAATTCTACAATACCTAAATGTATTTTAACACTTAGTATCTGATATGGAAAAATAAACCTAACCTACCTTGACCTAACAACAGAGGCAACTAAGTGTTGACCAACCGCCAAACCTCTTCGATTTTTGAACGATGATATTTCTGCCGGATAAGAATGATAATATTTCATTATCGAGGATAATGAAATATGACGTGGTACAACAGAGTAAGGATAACCTTAACATAATTTGATGAAGTCAAAAAGGTTAAATCATATCTGACAAATCTGGCAACGAACGGATCTCCTTTGATCTCGTATAAGCGGATCTTCTCTGATCTCGCAAATGAATTGAGGGAGAACGACTATAAGAATGAGATCCTACTAGTCAATAAAGGTACGACAAAAAACTATTATTAAATTCCTGCCTTTCTTTTAGACTTCCGGTGACTGATTTAATCGTCGGAGAGCTCTTGGCAGGCACCACACCGGTGCCGTCAAGATTCATCGATCTTCTACTCTATTCTTTGAAGGAAACGGTATTGTATCGGACTAGATTTCACCCTCAACAGTATTCCTTTCCATCAAAGCTATATGTTGTTTGTTTTTTTTTTTTAAGTAAAGTACAGTCACACCCCTTGAGGTTTGGCAAAAGAACACTCAGATGAAACTTACCTGTTTTTTGAATAAAGACACCCCCTGAAGCTTAAAAAATGGATAAAGACACCCCTTTACATGAGAAATTAATCAAATTACTATTTGACCATTTAGGAGATTTTTTAACTTTACAATTTAATAAATTGAACCAATCTACCCTCATGAACAATTTATGCATAAAAAAAAAAAGTAACAAAAAAAAACTTTATATTGTTCACTTTTTTTTTTTTTTTTTTTTTTTTTTTTTTTTTTTTTTACTGTATAAATGTCCCAAATTCTTAAAAATGTAGACGTCTAAAATGATTTTTTGATCCAATACATATATTTCAAATAAATTATATTTTGTTATTACTTTTTTTCTTTTTATTTTTTATTTTTAAATTAAGATGCTTAATTCTTTCTGCTAAAAAAATTAAACCAATCTCTTTTTCTTAAAAATAAAAAATATAGTACTAGTATAACTTTATGCATCTTAAATTATATATAAAATATTATACATTTCCCAACATAAAAGGGAAAAAAATAATAAAACAAAGGGAAAAAAAAAAAACCAAAGGCATGCATAAAGTTAAGATGCATAAAGTTATACTGGTACCTATTTTCTTTTATGTTGGAAAATACATAATATTTGATATATAATTTAAGATACATAAAGTTATACTGGTACTATATTTTTTATTTTTAAGGAAAACTGATTGGCTTAATATTTTTAGATGAAAGAATTAAGCATCTTAATTTAAAAATAAAAAAGAAAAAGAAAAAAAGTAATAACAAAATATAATTTATTTGAAATATATATATTGAATTAAAAAATTATTTTAGATGTTTACATTTTTTTAATGGGTGTGGCTTTACTTTACCTTTATTTATTTACTTATTTGTTTATTTATTTATTTTTTTAAAAGAGGTGGCGATGTGTTTGATGATAAATAAGAAACTTTGATGGGAAGGGTACCAACTGGAGCAGTGAACGGTTCAGATCAACACACGCGTACGTATAGCATAGTATACGATCCGAGACCCACCCACGCGTACCAGCCGCGTAATTCAGTGACATAAGCGCACTTCTTAGTTATCGTTGACTTGGCTGCAGTAATATTTACATTCGTCACATGATTAATGGATGGTTTAGAAGAGGAAGAACGGAAAGGAGTGACTGTGAGAGAGATTGTCGATATATATAGACATGACATAGATGGATAAATAGATGAACTACTAAAAAAAGCAAGCAGAAAGCAGGCAGAGCAGGTGGGTCGACTGCCGATACCAATGGAGCCAGAGTCTGGAATTTCGCCGCCTCCGCACCCTTCTCAGGTTTCTGTACCCCACCTTTTTCTCTAGGGTTCCTTCTCTGCCTTCCACTTCTATTGTTTTTTAATCATTAGTTTTTTTTTTTTTTTTTTACTCTCTTCTACCCCTCTTATTCTTGTTGGCTGATTTATTTTACTTTGTGTCTCGATTGCCTTTTAACAGTTCCCTTTATTGTAATATGTTTTTATAGTCAATCTTAATCGTTAACTTCTCATCGATCGATCATATGCGTGTTTTTAGATTTTACCTTCTCCCCTTTCCTTTTTTTTTTTTGTGCCTTTTCATTTTAACTAAATAAAAAATGTCATGTGTTTTAAATTGCTTTTGATTTTGATTTTGTTTCTTTGGCATTAAAAGGAGATAAAAACAATATCAACATTAATATTTGATCAAGTTTAATTCCGTAACCTGTTATGGTTGTGGATTAATCGTCCACAATCATTTGGAGAACAAGTACCACAAATTTATGAGTAATCATTATCACCATTTGTACTCGAGTAAAAAGTGAATGAGTGTTTATCATGTTGGTGGCTTTGGCCTCCAAGTGCTGAGACTGTTTCAATGAATCCATTGCACTTGCAGGAGTTCAAAAGGAATCATTTTGCATTCAACAAAAGAAATTCCATCATCCTCACCTTCGGGAAACCATCAAATTTTGACTCGAACTCCGGATTGCATCATCTTCCTCTATCAAAAGTTGTTTTCCATTATTATTACGGCTGCTGCACACAGATTTTGAGCATTTGTTTGACCTATACCTAGGTTTCCCACACTTACAACGCCTCATCCCAAGGGAAACATTTTGATTTTGAACTGCTGTCCTTCCAAAATTTTTGCGATTTCCAGCACTTGCAGCTTACTCTCTAGCTCCACCAACATGAGGCAGCTGCTGTCCCACATTTTGGGCATTATTTCGCACAGCTATAGGGGCTGATTCTCCCCTTAAAGTGGGCTGCAACCTTGTAGAAGTGCTGCTTGAACCTGAAATTGGCTTGTTTTGTTGCTTCCTACGACTAAAGTCCTCTAATAAGCCTCCAAAACGAATGTAAAAGTAAAACCTCTTGTATACTGGGCCCCGATCCACTGATACAATGTGCTACCAGCAGCTTATTACTTTTCGATAAATCATTGCGGGCAATTAGGTGATAAATTTTTTTGGTACAATAAAATTCTTCGGTATAATCTTCTGTGGTGTGACTCCCTCCCCTTAAATTATGCAAACCTTGAGACATCATTTGAACATAATTATGAGGAAAAAAAAAATGTTCCTTCATCTTCTCCCATTCTACGATCTTTGGCTTACCTCTGCGCTCCTGAGTAGTCCGCAGTTGCTTTGCTCCCACCATGATGATGCCCTTCCCTTCAAACGAATAGCTATGAGCTTTACCTTCTTGTGATGGTACCTCTATTGTATTCAAAAATATGTTCAATGGTATTTAGCCAATCGATGAAATCCTCAGCCTTCGGAGAATTTTTTTTATTTAATATTTGCCTCCCGGCGACAATCAGTCCACTCGTTGGTTGATCTATGGCGATGTGGAACATAGAATTGATTTTTCGTGACAGTCCAGTGGTCAATTGAGTCAGCATCTTAGATTGTATCTGCAAAAAATCTATTTGGTTCTGGTTTTGGCCGGGTAAGGGTTCGGCTGGAACATGCATCCTGCTACATCCACTTCCCGGTTGTTGTTGTTGTGGAGGCATGATTGAGCAGTTGGGAAGCTGGAACCAAAGCTCTGATACCAAACCTGATGCCGCCTTACCAAGAGTGGACGAGCAATTCGTCGTGACGACAATATTGAAAATGAAACAAAGGAATAGTGCAAAAGAAAAGGAGAATTGAAACAAACTTTAGTTGCTGTAAAATTATCTCTTCAGCAAGAATGATGCCAAATTGTAAAAACTACAAGACTTCATAAAGTTTTCCTACCCAATCGCAGTAGCAGGTTGACTTTACTACCAAATATAAATTAAGAAAAAAGGAGAATTACTGAATATAATAATTGAATGTTGAAAATCAGAAATTGCTAGAAAATCTTGTCTTCCTTACCCTTCCCCTACTTGTTTCCTTTTTTTTGGGTGTTTCCAATGTGGTCGGAAAACTTTCCCTGGGTCCACAGCTACATCAGTGACATTGGTATGTTCTCAGTGGTCGAGTTACTTGGATTTCCATGTTATATCTATTTTACAGTACTTTTCAGTTTAACATCATCTTTAGCATGAATAGATTATCTCCTTTTTTGAACTATGTAAGAACTGGTGCCGGACTAAGTTTAGACTTGTTCTAAATTTGATACATGGCCTTGCAGCTTTCATGGGTGAATCTATCCAGGAATCTAGTACTAGCATACCAAAGTTTTGGTGTGGTATATGGAGACTTAAGCACTTCACCTCTCTATGTCTATAGAAGCATATTCATAGGGAAGTTGCAGAATCATCAAAATGAGGAAGCAATATTTGGTGCATTTTCATTGATTTTTTGGACTCTCACATTAATACCTTTGCTCAAATATGTGTTCATCCTATTGAGTGCTGATGATAATGGTGAAGGTGTGTTGGAACTGACCCTCTTTTAGTAAAACTCTTACTGAAATTTAGGATCTGAAAATCTTTTACCTAATTTTATTCAATTAATGTCAGGTGGGACATTTGCTCTTTACTCGCTGCTTTGTAGGCATGCAAAGTTTAGTTTACTTCCCAATCAACAAGCAGCTGATGAGGAGCTGTCTGCTTACAAATATGGTCCCTCAAGACAGGTTGCATCATCTTTACCACTGAAGCGATTTCTTGAAAAGCATAAAAGGTTACGGACAGCGCTACTTATTGTGGTATTATTGGGTGCTTGCATGGTCATAGGAGATGGTGTTATCACTCCTGCAATTTCAGGTAACATAATACTGAGGCATCTAAGTGGGATGAAATCTCTATAATTATTATTATCATCTTCTGCTTAGGTCTAGTTGTTGAACATAATCCATCGTCTCGTCTTTCCTTGGTTCATTTTTTTTGCATGTCAGACACTCCACACAAACATGAGGGGAACTATTCATTATACTCACAACCCATATATCACATTTGATTTTTTCTAGTTAGATAATTGTTAGTGTCCTGTTGGTTCAGCTGGTGATCTTATCTCATTATTGAAGTCTCTATATTTATGGTTGGATCAATTCATTTGATAATTTCAATTTCTTAAATAAGTAGTGTGAAATTAGATTGACCAGTCAACAATATCACCCTTGCCTTTAGCCCGTACAAACGGGGTCGGCCACATGGATTCATTTTCACAGTATATTCTGTTAATGGAACTTCTTCTTTTTTTTTTTTTTTTTTTTTTTTTTTTTTTTTTTTTTTTTTTTTTTTTTTCATGTGGTTCTTTTATAGAAACTTTGATTCCTTGCTAGATCCTTGCAGTGGTATGTCCTTCAAAATTATCGAGCGTCAAGACAGAAAATATGGAACTTCAGTTAATTAATCTTGTTGATTAGAGAGGCTTAATACTGGGTATGTGGTTATAATTGCAGTTCTGTCATCCGTATCGGGGCTTCAAGTTACCGAACATAAGTTGACTGATGGTAGGTAGTTGCATTAGATTCTCAGTTTCCTCTACTTTTTTGTGTTTGCCTCTTGATTTACTTTGCCTATCACCATTTATGTAGTGGCTTTATATTTTTTTTATCTTACTTATTTTTTGGTAGGCGAGGTGCTATTGCTTACCTGTGTCATATTGGTTGGCCTGTTCGCTCTGCAGCATTGTGGTACCCACAAGGTAGCATTTATGTTTGCACCAATTGTTATAATCTGGTTGATATCAATATTTGCCACTGGGCTGTACAATATCATTCATTGGAACCCAAAAATTGTGCGTGCTATTTCTCCGTATTATATTATCAAGTTCTTTAGTGAGACTGGTAAAGACGGCTGGATTTCACTTGGAGGGGTCCTTCTTTCCATAACAGGTATATGAATCTGTACACTAGTGAATCTGTTTTACGTTTTGTTGCCATGAATTGTGTTGCGGGTCTGGAAAATTTGAAAATCTCTCTTTTTGGTTGAAGCAATTTAGTCATTCACATGAATCTGGTGAGTGGCTGGTATTTCTAGAGCACATACAACTCATTACTTTATTAACACGTGTGACTCCCCAAATCCTGTGATTCGTTCATCAACCAAGAAGTATAACCCAATCTGGTAACTCGGTCAACATAGTGCGGAAGCTAAGGTTAAAATGGTAAAAGTACCAAAGTCAAGGGTAAAATTGTCGAACCCACCAATGAGATAACGTACAAGGTCTCAAAATGTATATACATCACTACAAGGTAAACCTAAGTACCTCGAGGCAAGAGGGGATGGTCAAAGGTGAACAGGGAAAGAAACAGCAGCAGAAGAAGATGGTGCCAGCAATCGGTTGACATGTGAGGTCCACATGTCGACTGGTTTGGCCGACTCGGTCGACGTGTAGGCATTTCACGTCGACCGAAACCTGGTTCGTCATGAGAAAAGTGTACTGTCCAAACCAATTGAGATACCGGTCGACGTGTTGAAGTTACACGTCGACCGAAACTCTGCTGTTGCCAAAGCCTTGGTCCTAAAATCTGCAGAATTGCTCGTGGTCACTCCTAAGTCCATTCTAAGTTCAACTTAAGCATACAAATGGATTCCAAAGGGGTAAATAAACACTCTTACAATGGTATGTGGCATGGTTTGGTGAAATCCGTTTGGAAGTGTGCGAAGCATTCATAGGTGTGCGATATACTCTAAAGGAAACAAATATTGAATAAAATGGCTTTAAGGCCTCATTACATCATTTGAAATACCATCCAAAGAAGCGTGAAGAAGAGATAATCACCCGAGAACTCCAAAAGATGAGAATGAGTTCTCAAGTCATTTTCCCTCTCAAAATTACATTACATTTCCAAAATCCAAAAGGAATACATAAAACATGCTAAACACTTTGCATGTATGCATTATACAAAAGATGTCCAAAACAACTTAAAATAGTCCAAGTTAAGATGGAGGTGCATCCATGTAAAACACGTCCTTACCTGAAAACATTTAATCAACGAGAGTGAGTAATTGACATTACTCCGTAGGAAAATGCATTATAAGAATAACCTAGGGTTCATTGGCTTTGCAAGAATGACACAGGATACACGAGTGTGGTACATGCCTCCTAGTCGTCTAATTCAAGGGTAGGACTAAGGAATCATCTTAGAACTAGCATTTGAATTATGGAATGTAAAGTCAACTCGTGTGTATATATAATGCAAAAAATATACAACAATGTCAAAATGATCCAAGCTACAACCACATAAGGATGTCAACTTATAAATTGGGGAAACCGCGAGTGCCAAGCCCTCACATTTTCAAAGTAACAATTGTCCCAAATATCTCCCAAAATCAACAAGAATTTCCCAATGTATCTTATTCATTTCAAGATGAATAATGCACTCCACAAGCAAACGAAGATTTCTATTCACACAAACCATACCCTAAGGTCTCTAACATTAGCTTGTGGCATTAATATAGATAAGATGTCATGCATTGCAATTGTATATGTCCAAGTAACAAGGCCATCATCATGGTAGCAATATATTCTTCAAAATATTCTAACAACCTAATACATATAGTCCTCAATATGAAACCCTTGAACCAATATACAATTTCTACACAACTCATCCAAAGATTTAATACTTTTTTTTTTTTCATAGTTGTTACTCACACACACATGCCTCCATGGAGGCCTGTTGGTAAAGATTTAATACTCAATGTATAGCAATTCACATATACGAGGGTTATATAAAAGCAACCACGCCCCATTGTCAAGGAAGTCAAATTAAATTACATAACTTAACCACATAAACAATTTAATCATAAGGCTATCACTGTTCATGCTTTAGAACATTATGATTTCAAAGCAAAACCCTCACAACTCCCACAACACAAGTCTAGCATGTGAAACTCTCCAAAACACAATGAAAATACCAAGGTTACAATTATGCTATACCTCCTACCTCTCTAGGGAAGCTACCCTAGAAACTAAGAAGAAAATGTCACAAATGCTAAATCCAAGGAAAGGGTTTTGTTGCAAATGGAGTCCCCAAGCTTTTCCCCTTCTATGGTTTGTCCAAAAGGCTAGTGGAAGATGAAGTAAATGAAGGTCTAAAATTGAGCTCTAATGGAGGTAGAGAGTGAAAGCAAGGAAGAAGAAAGAGATTAGGAGAAAAAGTGTATTTGTAAAATGATATATGTCACAAACACCTACCCCTTGCACTACCTCTCTCACACACCACTATCCACACCCTCCACTTGTCATCATCCTAGCCTCCCCACATGTCACCAATCCCCCTTCAACACATGGCCAAATGAAAACAAGACACACGTCCCAACTTTCCCTTAATTGCACAAAAGTCCCTCCAAGAAATATATCCGATGTTGATTTTAAAATGTAGCTCTCAAGCGCACGAATCTATTCGAATATAGATAAGCAAGAACGAGGTTGAACCCAAGAGAATGATTTGAAGAATACTAATACAAATCTAAATTAAATTAAAACTAACCTAGTTACCCAAATTGATTGTAGAGTGAATAATAATAAACAAGCAAGATTAAAATAAAAATAAAGATTGAAATCAATAGAGAGAAAACACTAAGGTATCGGATTCCACCACCATTAAATCCATAAAGTCTCAATCATCATTTAATCAATTCCTTAACTAATAAAAACAATTCGGAAGGCACTCCATTGTTTTTGAAAGATTTTTTCATTAAAACTCAAGTAATATATTTTCAAATCTAGATTTTCCTTTGCTTACAAGTTGTAAAATTCTAAGCATCCTATGTATTCAACTTAATGAAAAACATAGGATCAAAGATTATTACTTTTAAAGAATATAAAATGACACATATAGTCTTTCATGATGTGAAAATTACTAAAGACCTGAAAAAACATAAAAAACTCTATTAATTAAAAATAAAATATATAAAAATCCTAACAAATATAAATTTGGGGATAAAATATGTATTAAATATATACTCATCAAATACCCCCAAACCTATATTTTGCTAGTCCTCGAGCAAAACTAACAGAATAAAAAGCCTAACTACACCACTTTCACTGGTATATCTTGATTGCATTTAGTGTGTGCAACAAGCCTTTAAACCCCAAGGTTACCCTTAAAGGACGAGTTATAGTCTCGTGATGGTTTCCAGTGATGATACCTACAAATATCACGAGTCATGAATTTTGATGAAAATCTATGCAAGTCAAGTTCTTTGAGGTTCATTGAATGTTTTTAGCAACTCTACTCCCTTTTTCAAGGCCTTGAGATTTTTAAATTTAAGTCTTTAACCTCTTATCATCATTTAGAAACATGTCCCAAAATCTCTTTCTTCATGTGTGTGGAAGAACCTCATTTTGATAGAAATTTTTATCAAGACAAAGAAGTTTTAATCATGTTAAGAAAAAAAATTCAGTTTTCAACTCTCTTTTTGATTTTAACAAGTAAGCACCATATTATCTTTTTATCTTGGATTTTTCAAAGTATTAGATAGAGGTAGCTTTCACTCTATATGGGTAGGTAGCCTTCTTCCAGTTGAAGAGCATGAACAAATCAAAGCTACTTTTAGGCACAAGGAAGCTTTCACTCTATCCCACATGGTAACCTTCCCCTTCTATCATAATAATGAAAAACGACTTGATTGTTTACCAAGAGAAGCATTAAGTCCGTATTATGATACAAGTCTTTCCAAGATTTTTCTTTTCTTTTCAGAAGTGCTTTTGATGACCTCATTTTAAAAAATTTCTATTGAGAGAATGTTTTAACAAGAGAGTATATAATATTTCTTCAAAAATGAAAACAACTTAGTTTGTCATAGAAAAATTTCTCAAAACTAGTGTGCATTTGTGCATTAAAAGTGAGACATAAGGGACATAAATCTAATTGGTGATAGTTGTCATAAACTACAATTCAAATGCTCACCTAAATCAAGGATTGTCACACCAAAACAAATTTTGAACCTTAAATCCCAACTTTTACAAACTTCTCATCAAATTCATAACTTCAATTTTTTTTTTTTTTAAATTTTTGACACAAAATATGAAAACACACCACACAAAAATTAAAACCAAATTAAATCACACCTCACAAATTAAACAAAAGTAAACCACACATTTTTATTTTATTTTATTTTTTGAAAGTTAAACCACACAACCTAATCCATACTCCCAAACGTAAACTAAACATTGTCCTCAATGTAAATAAAGAACAATAAGGTAGTAAAGATTAAAGGGAGTACCTTGAGGTTGAACATAAAGAAAAACTTTAAATCATGCAAAAGAGTATACAAAAACAAAAACAAAAACAAAAACAAAAACGAAAAATAACAATAAAAGAAAAACACACTACTAAACTACGACTTGGGACACATGGTTCATCCTATGCCACATCTCTTTAGAAGATCAATCATTATTCTCCAAGTATCCAACTCTCCATTAAGAGACGCTATTTGAGGACTTTCATCAAACTTCACTTTAAAAGAACTAATTGGGTATGCTTCCACATATTCTGTTAAAAATGACGCAATAAATTTCTTTTCAAGTGTCTAAATAATATCTCCATGTTCGTTGTGGCACTTTGAAATGGTAATAGTTGGTAGACTTTCATCCGGACCTAAGTAATCAAACTTAAGTTCGTGAAAGTTAAGATCGGGTGATGACTCATCCAATGGGGGGACATAACTAGATTCAGTGGGTGGGAATGGGTTCCACCTCGGTTTCCCACCGTTCAGTATCCACAATAGAGACTGAATCTAATGACACATTTACCTCTTCATCATCACTCTCAAAATTACAACCAACTATAGTTGTTAACCGGTTTACTTGATTTTCTAATTTTCCAATGGCCTTACTAGTTAGTTACCAACATAAATTGCTGAAGTATATCCTCTAAAGATGATTGTTGTGGTGCAACATTCTCGTGAATAGATTGATGAACAAAATGATATGATTGAGAAGGAGGGTAAAATTGATTATTATACATTTCGTTTCCTCCTAAGTTGAATTGGGGTGGGTTTTGCTCCCATGAAGAATTGCGGTAGTCCCACCAATCATGATGGTATGTCTCGAAAATTGGCTAGCATAAGGTTCCCAAAAATTATTTAGCGTATTTACTTGCTCAGCATAACACGTTGAATGACCGTACATGGAAGGACGCATTTGTGTCAAATGTAGCGGATTAGCACAAAGAGAACATACCATTATTTTTTCTTTCTTTTTTTTTCTAAACCAAAGATGCCTCGTGTAGAAAGAAAACAAAAAGAAAAATAGAAATAAAAAATAATAATAATAATAATAATATTTTTTTAATAATAAAATCTAAAGTACAACTAGTAGAAGAAATAAATCAATCCAGATCCAATTAATTTTCTTGTTGTATTCCCCGGCAATGGCGCCAAAAACTTGATGATGATTTTAAAATGTAACTCGCAAGCGCACGAATCTATTGGAATATTGATAGGCAAGAACGAGGTCGAACCCAAGGGAATGCTTTGAAGAAAACTAATACGAATCTAATTAAATTAAAACTAAACTAGTTACCCAAATTGATTGTAGAGTGAGTAATAATAAACAAGCAAGATTAAAAAAAAAATAAAGATTGAAATCAATAGAGAGAAAACACTAAGGTATCGGATTCCACCACCATTAAATCCATAAAGTCTCAATCAGCAATTAATCAATTCCTTAACTAATAAAAACAATTCGGAAGTCACTCCATTGTTTTTGAAAGATTTTATCATTAAAACTCAAGTATGATATTTTCAAATCTAGATTTTCCTTCGCTTACAAGGTGTAGAATTCGAAGCATCCTATGTATTCAACTTAATGAAAAACATAGGATCAAAGATTATTACTTTTAAAGAATATAAAAACAAAGCCTAGATTAATTATTTGATATTCCTAACTACCATCAATACATGATAATAATGGTAAAAGAAACTTACAACAATTAATCATATGAAGCAAAAATCATAAGCATTAAAACCATACAAATAGGAATTGATACAAGAATAAGAGAACTTTATTTCATTAATGGAGATTTCCTCCTCAACCTTAGTTGAGGATTTAGTTACACATTATGAAAGAACAAAGCAAATAGATTAAAGATGACATGAGTAAAGAGAATTAAAACAAATAAACCCGGATGTCTACTAATTGATTGCTCTATGCCGCCTCCTCTTTTCTTTTGTATCGACCTCCTTAACTTTGCTGTCATCTCTTCTATATATAATAGTCTCTCTAGGGTTTTCTCCAAAGGAAGGAATAATAAATTTGGCGGAGAATCAAATGTGCCAGAATTTTCTTTTGCATAAATTAAATGCAGCAACTTCAATCTCGAATTTGTCCCTGTTGCAGTGCGAATCACGAAATCTCTATTAGATGCAAAAATGACGGGCTTCGAGTCAGCTTTCCAGAGCCGCTGAGTTTACCCAATTCCAATAGTCGAGTCTAAAGTTATGACCGAATTACTGAAACTTGTCCAGAATTTCTAGTCCAAATAATTTCCATATTTGAATATAGAGATTTTCTTTCTTTAAAATAATTCTCAGAATATTTCTTTCTTGGTAAATACGTTTCTAAATTCTCTAGAATCTCCATAAACAATCTCAGCCCTTGAATGCACTCGGACACTTGATCTTCTCAATTGGTCTTTGCTTAAAATGATAGATATAGCCTTTAATGATGTGAAAATTACCAAAGACCTGAAAAAACATAAAACCCTTTATTAATTAAAATAAAATATATAAAAGTACTAACAAATATAAATTTGGGGATAAAATATGTATTAAATATATACTCATAAATCTCCAAAGGATAATCGCACCATTGTCCCAAATGAAAATATCTTCTAAGAATCCCAAAACGAAAATGTCCCCAAAACATAATCGCACAAGTACCCTCAAATAATACGAGTCAAATGGCACACAAGTGCTATACAATTCTATCATGTCATGAGAGTAATATGTGCAAGGATGAATGAACTTAGTGGCGGGAACTATTCCCTAACACTTGACTGGTCTTGGGCCCACATGGCCCGAAGTCGAAAAAGAAATAATATAAATCAAAATAAACTCGGAAAATGGAAAAAGATAACACGGTCATCACCAACACGAGTCCCAATATCTGCTCTTGAATCATGTCACTCTAATGATAATCTCTTTGGGTTTCATCAGGTACTGAAGCTATGTTTGCAGATCTTGGCCATTTTACCGCCTTGTCAATAAGGGTAAGTTACTATACATGCATTTTAGCAATAGGAGACATTACATTGCAATGTTTTAGTACAAAAATGTGAATTGGTACTCTGATTCTGGGTTATAATAATCTCCTCCTGTTAGATCTCCAATGCTGGAGTTTTATGTAGTTATAGAACCATAAGTCCTGAATCTTTTGCATTCATACTTGCCTTCTTTTATTCTTTAGTCCCTTCTCTATTAATTTATTCTTCTCCCATATTTATCGTGGAGAATTTATTGCTAGTGGATTTCATCAAATGAGAAAAATGGATGTTTTGACAAAAAAAAAATAAAAAAAAAATATTTTACCTTTGTTTTGAGGGAATCAGTATGTGTATTATTGGAAGAGTACACGAAACAGCAAAAACAGAGTTCTCTTTTCGTTCTGTCATAGATAGGAATTGAGCACATGATCAATTGCAGTAATATGCGTTCCCTTTTACTATATGCAGTACCGAATCTGAATATTTTTTTGTATGTGCAGCTTGCATTTGCGTTTGTTGTATATCCTTGTTTGGTGGTACAATACATGGGACAGGCTGCTTTCTTGTCTAAAAATATATCATCGATTCCTAACAGCTTCTATGATTCAATTCCTGGTTAGTTCATTTTCACCTAAATTTAAATGCTCCAGATATTCTTGTTAATGAAACTGAATTTGGTCTAAATCTGAGTGTGCCCCTTGCTTATCTTGCAGATATTGTATTTTGGCCTGTCTTTGTTATTGCCACTCTAGCAGCTATCGTTGGGAGTCAGGCCATCATTAGTGCTACATTTTCCATTGTCAAGCAATGTCATGCCCTCGGTTGCTTTCCACGAGTTAAGGTTGTCCACACCTCAAAACATATTTATGGACAGATCTATATACCAGAGATAAATTGGATCCTCATGATTCTTACTCTTGCTATAGCTATTGGGTTCCGGGACACAACTTTAATTGGAAATGCTTATGGTAAGTTCATAGTTTTTGAAAGAGAATATCCTTCCTCCTTCTCTCTCTCTCTCTCTCTCTCTCTCTCTCTCTCTCTCGCTATAGTGGGAGTTAGATGTTGCTATAGCTATTGGGTTCCAGGACACAACTTTAATTGGAAATGCTTATGGTAAGTTACCGAGTTCATAGTTTTTGAAAGAGAATATCCTCTCTCTCTCTCTCTCTCTCTCTCTCTCTCTATAGTGGGAGTTAGATGTGAAAGGGCTAGTGGAAGTTGTTTTAGGTTTTCATTTGTTTTATTTGATAATTCCCATATTCTTTTTCGTGCGTGTGACTATAATGGAGGAATTTGCTTATGGACTGTGCTTACAGTATCCGCTTGTAAACAACACCCCCCTTCCCCCCCTCTTCCCTCCTTCTCCTCTCTCTCTCTCTCTGCCATCCACGTGGACAGATTAACAGAATTTTAATACCGATTTCATAATGCATGTCTGATATTTTGACTTATATTTGAACTTTTGACCTTGTCTGAAGCTTAATGACCAACTCATCCATTGAGGTTGCGATTCTGGTTCTTGATTATTAAATTTATGATTGGGAAGTATTAGCAGATATGGTAGCCACGATTTATGGAATGACTTACTGTATTAGCAGAGATTTGATTATGCTATAGAATATGCCATGAAATATGCTGTGATTTGATTTAGATTTGATTTAATTTCCTTTCTTGTAATATGAGCATTTGTTCTTTTTATCTATAAATACTAGAGCCGTGAATGAGTGATTATCTCATTCAAGCCTTTACACAATTCTCTCCTTTTTCTTTTTATATTTCTACTTGGTATCAAAGCCAGAGTGGTCCGACTGCAATGAGGGCATTGCGAGTTTGGCACCACCCATTCGGGAATGGTCTAAAGGTGACATCGCCCATCCGGGAGGTGTCAGATAGGTAGAGTGGTCTGACCTCAATGAGGGCGTTGCGAGTTTGACACCACCTATTCAGAAATGGTCTAAGGAGGCTTTCTTTTTATGGTTTGAGGAGACATTGTTGATTTTTTCATCGACATTGTTTAAACATATGTATGAAGGGGAACGGTCTGAGGAGACATTGTTGATTCTTCCATCTACATGTTTTAAACATGTGTATGAAGGGAAATGGCCTCCGGAAACATTGTTGGTTGTTTATGATCTGAGAAGACATGATTGGTTGTTTATGGTCTGAGGAGATATTGTTAATTGTTTATGGTTTAAGGAGACATTTTTGATTTGTTGATCGGCACTTGATCTGAGAGAAAATCATCGCTAGTCAAATTTGCACTCCATTTGTCACAATCTCTCGGCTTGCAGATATTCTTACAAAGGGCGTCAATAAGATTGTGTTTGAGAATGCATTGTCCAAGTTGGACATTTCAGATATCCGTGCACTAACTTGAGGGGGAGTGTTAGCAGATCTGATAGCCACGATTTATGGAATGACTTACCGTATTAGTAATAATTTGATTATGCTATAGAATATGCCATAGAATATGCTATAGAATATGCCATAAAATATGCTGTGATTTGATTTAGATTTGATTTAATTTTTTTTTTATATAATATGAGCATGTGCTCTTTTTATAAATACTAGAGCTGTGAATGAGTGATTATTTCATTCAAGCCTTTACACAATTCTCTCCTCCTACTTTTTATATTTGTACTGGAAGTAATATTTCTCTAGCCCTATTTCCTTGAAAGTTTGGAGGGAATATTTAATGCATCGAGCTTTGTGCTCCTATCCATCTAAGGCTTAGTTATTTCATTTGAATATTAAACATGTGACCATGCATCATTTAAATTGCATGCCCACCAGTCTGCCTTATTTATATCTCAAAATGGATTACGGAGGTCTGTTTGGTTTACCAGCAATCAGATCATGTGACTTTTGGGTTGTGCATGGGTACACAAGACAAACACGTATCAAGTATATGGCCAATGTTATCAAATGTTATGTAGCTTTTGCTATTGCTTTATACTATGCCATACAGGAGCATAGATTATAATAGTTAATGAATTTGCATTGGGGGGGGCCCTAAAGTCCATCACATCTGCCATTCTTACACTGACGCAGGGAAAGAAGTTCTATACTTCTTGTTTTTTTCCCCCCTCCTTGTTGCTTATTGAGTTTCTTCTTGAGTTTGTTGCTTACATTTCTGGATTTTAGTAGTCCTTAATTTTCTTCTGTTTTTTGGTTCCAGGTCTTGCTTGCATGACAGTTATGTTTATAACAACATTTCTCATGGCACTTGTCATAATCTTCGTCTGGCAGAGAAGCATTCTATTGGCCGCAGCATTCCTTCTATTCTTTGGGTTCATTGAGGGTGTCTACCTGTCATCTGCATTCATAAAAGTTCCTCAGGGGGGATGGGTCTCTCTTGTGCTCTCTTTCATCTTTATGGTTATCATGTTTGTCTGGCACTATGGAACTCGCAAGAAATACAATTTTGATCTGCACAACAAAGTTCCATTGAGATGGCTTTTTGGCCTGGGCCCTAGCCTTGGGATTGTCCGTGTGCCTGGGATTGGCCTCATATATTCGGAGTTGGCAACAGGAGTACCTGCAATCTTCTCTCACTTTGTGACAAATCTTCCTGCATTTCACAATGTGTTGGTTTTCGTTTGTGTAAAATCTGTTCCGGTACCCTATGTCTCACCTGAGGAACGATTCCTCATTGGGCGAATTTGCCCAAGACCCTACCGTATGTACCGTTGCATTGTGAGGTATGGGTATAAGGACATCCAGAGAGATGATGGAGATTTTGAAAACCAACTCATTCAAAGTATAGCAGAATTCATTCAGATGGAAGCAGTAGAACCACAGCTTTCGAGCTCAGAGAGTGCGTCTTTTGATGGGAGGATGGCAGTCATAAGCACCAGAACTATTCAATCAAGCTCAAGCATAATGGTATCTGAGGAAGAGGATTTTGTTGTGAGCAACTCCATCCAAAGCAGTAAATCTTTAACCCTCCAGAGTTTGCGATCTGCTTATGATGATGAGAACCCACAGATCAGGAGGCGCCAAGTGCGGTTTCAATTGTCACAAAGCCCTGGAATGGATCCTTCAGTTAGAGAAGAGCTTTTGGACTTGATCCGGGCAAAGGAAGCCGGGGTTGCATATATAATAGGGCACTCTTATGTGAAGGCAAGGAGATCATCTTCGTTTTTGAAAAAGCTTGTAATTGATATTGGTTATTCATTTCTCCGCAAGAATTGCAGGGGCCCTGCTGTGGCGCTAAACATTCCTCACATTAGCCTCATTGAAGTTGGCATGACATATTATGTCTAGTGCTTTATTAGTGAACTATTATTCTCCATCAATCTTTGTGTATTTGTGAAGTAGTAGACAAGTAGAGGTTGTTACTCACTTATCCTTGCCATTGGCAGGAGAAGCTCTGTAGCTGAAGGTATTATGGATTAGGATTAGTACAATGCAAATGGTCATGAAAGTGCTTTAATTATTCTGTCTCACTTATGTCGTAATATTCATCTGACAGATAAGCTTTCATATCAAACAATGATCAGAAGGTGCATTTAATCTGGATTTTCACTTTTAAGATTCACCTTCTGCTACTTGTAATATGGGTTTGGTTTGATATTCTCCTATAATTATAGGTTATTTGGTCGGGTTTTCTAAGGACCGCTATTTTTAGTGTGCCCCTTGCCTTGGCAGCATAAGTGGTACGGAAAAAAAATTATAAACTGGGCTACTGGCTGTTCTAGAGGCGAGTCACCCTTAAATATTACGAGTAAACAGGTTCTATTTTTTTTCTTTTCTCCAAGTTAAAAAAAAAAAAAAATCACGGGATGGAGAGGAGAAAATTTTAATTGCATTGGTGGAAAGGTCATTTGAAATTAATTCTCAGAGCACTACGGAACTTTAAATAAATTATAAGTGAAATTTAAGGGGAAAGAACAATTAATTTCTTTTTGTTTCCTTGCTCTCCGTCACACAAGTGTTTTTGTATATAGCCCATGACGAGCGGCAAAATTTAAAGTGTTTCTGTATAAGGTGCATGAGCCGCATATACAAAAATTTGCGTGGTTTCTAAAACGGTGTTCCAACTCTGGGCCCAAAATTCTAGAGTGTTTTGGTATTGTTAAAAACAAAACAAATCGGCCCAAACATGTTTTGTTTTCAAAATAGATAACTGTAACAAGAGTGGAATATTACAAAACATATAAAAACACTTACCAAACATGTCCTAAATATATTTTTGCGCTAACTGCTAGTAAAATATCTGTGTATCAGTTCCACAAATATAACTAGTAACAACTATCACACAATCAATGCCTAATCTGATAAATATTTCTGGGGTTCCTCGTTCCTTCTCTCTAAAACTAAAAACTAAAACCGCTTTCCAAATCCTCCCTATAAAGCAAACTGGTGGTTTTGGCTACTGATGCAATCGAACCAATGCGTGCCACTCACTCCCGTCCCGAGTTAGCATTAGTCCATTGTAGTGCAGCAGTAGTTAGTTTTAGGGGAAGTAAAAAAAATGGCCGCTGCTAAAGCATCTCTATTCCCAACCTCACCGCATTTTGATAATTCGGTCGTCTTCTTCAAACAACTACATCTCCGCTACTCCTCTCCTACTAGGGTTAGGGTTTCGACACTCTTCTTCACTTCCGAGAGCCCTCGTCGTGGTCGTCGGCTCAAAAATAACACACCATCGTCCTCTTTAATCACCAAAAATGCCGCCGTGTACACCACCATCACCACCACCCCCCAAGGAGGAGGAGGAATCTCTACCAAATTGCCGCCACGAAGGGAAAACGTCGACACTGACCGGGACTCCGTATCGATTCTCAACGAGAGGATACGCCGCGATCACGGCAAGCGAGATGTTTCCAGGCCCGCTATGGATTCTGAGGAGGCCGACAAATATATTCAGTTGGTGAAGCAGCAGCAGCAGAGAGGCTTGCAGAAATTAAAAGGCGATAGGGTAGCAGCTAAAGACGGAGGTTTCAACTACAAGGTAGATCCTTACACTCTTCGTTCTGGAGATTACGTCGTCCACAAGAAGGTTGGTGTTGGACGATTTGTTGGGATTAAATTCGACGTGCCCAAAGATTATACGGAGCCAATTGAGTATGTCTTTATTGAGTATGCGGATGGAATGGCAAAGCTCCCTGTTAAGCAAGCGGCCCGTATGCTCTACCGATATAATCTGTAAGTGACTTTTTCATCTTTTCTCTCTCCTTTTTCTTTTTCTTCTCTCTTTTTCTTTTGTATAGCTAGACCAATTGCAATGGTTGTTTGAGTTTTGTAGTCCATGTCATGGTTCATTTTGTGGAAAAATGTTCACACACTGTTGAAAACCACTATCATCTAGTAGTGTCGAGGATGTAGTCATTAAATCCTATTCATTTGCAGTCCCTTCGTTTTGTATTTTCAAGTTACATATTCTTTAATTCTGGTTGATTTCAAATAATGGAATCTGCTAATTTATGCCTAAAGTGCACTAAAATTCTGTGATGCCCCAAAGCTGGAAAATATCTCATTGGTTATTACCTGAGTAATTAAATCCTAATTTCTAATTTCAACATTATGCGACCATAAAAAAATACAAAAAATTAAATTTGCTTGATTTCTTATTTGTGCTGGCATGATTTATGATGAAAAAAAATTTCATCACTCATTTTCTGAACCAATTTTTTTTTCCTAGTTCATTTTCCGAACATTTTTAAGGCAAAACATTTTTCTAGGAGTTTAGACATGGTATTATGTTTGGAAAAATTCATGAGATCCAACAATGTTATCAAATATTTCTAATCATTCAACAAAATTGTAATTCTAGATCCATGAATATGTAACAACCGTAACCTTCCTGGTTTAAGAAATATTAATCCTTTCATTCTCAACAAACTGAGACTTAATTTATCAAATACTTTCAGGAATATTTGGAACAGACAACTTACAATAGTACATCACCACAGTGGCCGCATTCTCTGAAAATTGAAGAACAAGAAGAGATCTATTAAAAGAAAGATTTATCCGAGAAAAAATCTTAACGGTTGTAAGGGGGCATCCTTGCCCGAGTCCACGATTTGCCTTGAAGAAATCTGCCTTAGAGTCGATAAGTGCCGTTGATAGGGCAGTCCAAGGCCCATTGATACATGTTTTGATCCAGTTTACCATTTCTCGGGAGAAGCTAAATTTGAGGAGAGTCTTAAACAAGAACGCGTGGTTCAAACGATCATAAGTAGTAAACTGAGAGTTTTGAATATGTGTAAACTTTCAACTCATATGGACTTCTTGTTCTTGTTCTTCATTCAATTATCTTAGGATTCTTGAGATCCAAGAATGTTATTAAATATATCTAATCACTCAACAAAATTGTAATTCTAGATCCATGAATATGTTACAGCCGTAACCTTCCTGGGTTTTAAGAAATGTTAATACTTTCATTCTCAACAAACTGAGACTTAATTTATCAAATCCAGAAGTAAACTCAAAAGTGTTGAATGTGTGTAAAATTTCAACTCGTATGGACTTCTTCTTCTTATTCTTCTTTTTTCAATCATCTTATGAAATTGAGTCATGTGGTGGCATATTCCTCATCAAAACCAGAGTTGTAATGTGTCAAAGTGTCTTGATTCGTTTGTCTACATATACTGAAGACATGACATGACATGACATGACATACACAGAATTGCAAAGAGCAAATTATACTCAATGACACATTTAGGTTACAGGTAATCTGACTTCAGTATGACCTTAGCTTAACCAAAATTGATTTTGGTTGGGGTTTATAAACTGTTTTGAAAAAGATTTTAACACTGGCTTGGCTTTACAGCGTTGACCGAAATGTCAAGCAATCAAAAGTTTTCTAGGTAAAATTTGGTGCAGAACCAGTATGCATCGATCGAATGGTCAATTGATTGAGATGTTGAAAGAAAAATGGTTTTGAACTCAAGCCTTGATCGATCAAAGTGTTCCCAGTAGGTTTTGATCAAAAGGTTGATTGATCGAACCTGCTTGACTTGAATATATAAACTCTCTTAAAATACAGTTTTAGAAGGTTTCAACTACCTAAAACATAAGAAACTCCTATATTTGTTATGAAATATGTGGTTATGACCAATCTATGGTAGAGAGAACGGGACTAAGTACTATACTTTTTCCCTTTTGAGCCTTTTTCACGTAAAAATTTCTGTCTTTATTCTCTTCTTATTTATCATATGGTTGATTGAAAATGAAAATTGAATCTTAACTGAGAATCAAATGTCACATATAAACTAACCGGAATTTACGTAAAATTAATTGATTGTTGAAAAGTTAGTTAAAAGCAGAAAAGTATCTGTAAAGACGTATTCAAACCCCCCTCTAGGTCTAATTCACTGCTCGCATTCTGAATCATCAAAGCCTCGGGTAACGGTCTTACACTTTATCAAATTAAAAAGTTCCATGGGACTTGGATCCCCTCCTGTTGAGGAGGTCCTGTGGTCTTATTTTATGCATCAAAACTACAATGTTTTGAGGCACATCTCACCCTTATTATAATCTTCCAAAAAATAAAAAACTTACCATTATTATATTTATTCTCTTTCTCCTCTCTCCTTCCATATCTCTATCACTCTATTTTCTCCACCTCTTACTCCCCCACCCTCTAACCATGGCCATCTCCACCTCTTACACCTTCACCCTCTAACGATGGCCATCACCCCTCCCTTCTCAACCTCCTACCACCACTCCCCTCTCCACCAACCACCATATTTATAGACGCATATACCTTGATTAGGCTGGGCACCTATACCCATATGTATATAAATACATACATATATATAATCGTACATTGTTCTTATCGGTTGAAAATCCTTTAATTGTTTTCAGTTAGTTTTCATCAGGTTGATTTATTTTGAGGGCTGATTAATATTCCAAAAACAAAACAGGCTATTTGAAGGAATAGGCAAATACTGCCTTAATTAGTTTTAAATGACTGCCAACTATGCCTCCAAACTTCAACGTTTTAAGGCACATGATAGGTCCTGTGATTTCCACCACAGGAGGGAATCGGGATCCTGTTCTATGACAGTTCTGGCCCTTGCTATTGAGCTCATAAAACCATAGAATAATAATCCAAATAACAAAATTGACTATAATTATGTGTGAAATATTTTCGTGTGAAACAAAATTTTTGATTGGAAAACAATATATTAAGGTAAGTTTAACTTAGAAGACCTTTCCAAAATTTTTCGAACTCAGAACCGATAGAAAATATTTTTAATTTCCTAAACTATAGCAGGGCGTAACAAAAACTGCAACAGTTGGGACATGTTGTGTAATTCAAATTAAATTTTTTTTTTTGGTCAAAAGTTCATGATATTTCACAGAAGTTTGGTTTCATATTTTATCTAACTATTCCGATTCAGCTTTCCCCAAAACAAATTGTTTGGAAGTAGATACATATTCTAAAAGCAACCTGACCTGGTACTCTTTAACTATACTATGAATCCTCCAGGAATAAAATTTAATAAAGTCACGAAAAATTATTTATTTATTGGAATTCCAAAATCATCTTTATCAATAGCCATCGGCAATTAAACTTCCAAGTTCTACCAAATCTTACGTAAGTCCCACAAAAATAAATAAATTTGTTCCATTGTTGAAATGCCTAACAATCAAAATAGAAATCCGTAACAGTGGTAATCAACGGCCAGTAAATAGGATTTCATGCAATGATGTGATCATGTCTCTGCTTTCCTCCATGAGCATTTGAAAGATATAAAGGGGTTGAGCTACACAACCCCGTTGACACTAAACTATATTTGAATACAATATAGTAAATGTATAGTTTTTCTTAAATAGGCATGTTAAAAAGTAAGTTTTTCAAAACAATATTAGAACAATTAATTTTCTTACGATCCTTCCAATAATGAGATATTCGGCAATTCCATAGAATCACTTCGAACAAAAATATACACAACTTGGCAAAACAATTTCTTGTCACAGTGAAGCATGTAACCTACGTGTGTTAGGTCATTCTCCTAGGGATCGCCACCAAAACTAACCACTTAATCCTTCAAAGTTGTTTCTCACTTGAAAGGCATTCCGCCATTGAAGCATTCCACTACAATAAAATGACATGTTCCATGCAAAGTCTATGATTCCATATCCAAATATTCCAAAACAATAAATTTTTTTTTCGTAGTTATTCCAAAACAATTTTCTCATAATTGATACCCAAAAACAATTAGGTAATGAAGCAATTATACACACAATTCAAGCAATGCCTTTTAAACTTACAAAGAAAAGGACAATAGATTCTATTCTGTCACTAAGCTTTTGCAAGCATAAAAGAAAAGTAGCAAGCAGAAAAGATTAATTCACAGTAGCAAGAAATTGAAATGCATACATGCACACTCACATATATATGTATATATATATATATATATATATATATATATATATATTTATATCATATCAAAACCCCTACCTCCAATATTTGAGTAATTGAAAATATCTTTCTAATTAAAAATATCTTTAACTTTTTTTTTTTTTTTTTTGATAAGTAAAATGTATTAGAAAGCGTTCAAAAGGGGAACGCTTTCTAATATATGTAACATTCACATTTGAAACTTAACCTTTTAAGATATGCAAAAAAGTTGAGAAAGGAGCTGGTTTTAAGCTTTGTTAGTGCTCTCCGGAGGTTGTTGGAAGTCGTTAGAAAGCTGAATCGCAGCAGATCGTGTAGCTTCACATGGAAAATAGAGAGTAATGTTGAGCTCTGAGCTATGATCATTGATTCTTAACAAGGTTTTCTGGTCTTTTTTAAAAAAAAAAAAATTGGAATTGGGCTTAAAAAAGTTGGATGCTTGGGCTTTATACTTAGGGGTGACAAAGTTTGACATGACCCGCCAACATGATTCGAACACGATATGAGATAAGCAGGTTTGGGTTGATCTTAAACGAGTTCGGTTTGTAAACAGATCGACACGATTAACCCGATTAATTAATTGTGTCGTGTTAGGGTTGAGGGGTTCAACCCGTGTAACTATGGACAATTGGGTCATTTCAACATAAATCCTAACAAAAATATATATTATATCATAAGATGTCATTTCTTTTTAGTCTGATTCATGCCACGCCTTACGATTTTCAAGTGATTAGAGTTAAACATTTGTGTTCTGACTACTTGGCTATGGGGTGTTTGATGATTTGTCTTATTCGGGGTTCCTTGTTTAGTAGAATACCCTTAAGTCGACACGACATGATTATGCCCACAAACACGAATTGCCAATTATACTTAAAAGCCTGAGTTTTTTTTTTATTTTTAAAATCCAGAATGTGCTGTAGGTCCAAAATTTGGAATAGAAAGACAAAACAAACCCATTTCATTGAAATGGTGGGATCATACCATTCCTACTGCGACTTGACGTCGACCAATTTCCAATGCAATGGATTTGGTAATTTGGGATTATAGAATTGTACATTCCTATGATCTGGATTGCAATTTTAACAACCATGAGTTTAATAGTAATCATTCACAAGTCCTAATGGGTTGCCTAATTTTTTTTTTTAATCCAGAATGTGCTGTAGGTCCAAAATTTGGAATAGAAAGACAAAACAAACCCATTTCATTGAAATGGTGGGATCATACCATTCCTACTGCAACTTGACGTTGACCAATTTCCAATGCAATGGATTTGGTAATTTGGGATTGTAGAATTGTACATTCCTATGATCTGGATTGCAATTTTAACAACCATGAGTTTAATAGTGATATGCATAATCATTCACAAGTCCTAATTGGTTGCCTAATTGGTCTTATTGGAACGCACACTTCATATCTAGTGTTTGTATATGTTATATAAAAATTATAGATCTATATTGAATGAAAGTAAGACTTGTTCTTCCACAAACAGGGGCTTGCAGGAAGCAAAATTAATCTAGTTAATTGAGGTTATCAATGTTAATCAGCTTCAACTGGTATTGTCTAATAGCATTCCTTGGTAACAAATTTAGTCCCTTTTGGGGTGATTGAATCACTACTTCAAGAAAAAGAGTCTGGAGGAAAAGTTAAGATTAGTGGTAGGATGTAGCTACTAATAGCATTACAAAAAATTTGCTCAAGCCTTATCATGTTATGATTGTTAGAAGAATCAAAATCCACTATCTGGTTGGCTTCTTTACTAGACTGGTGATTGGAAAATTGAGGTTGATTATTGATTTTAGCAATTTGTTTATCTCGGATTCTTTCAATGGTTGAATAACATACGGGAGTGAAAAGCAAATAGTATGAAAAACAAAGGGCACAATCTGATATGACTGATTGAAATTTTCATGTAAATGATAGATACAGAACAGATCGAGCTCTAGCTTAATTACCCCTAACAGGTCCTGGAGATTTTACAGCTCTAGGGATGCGTTCCCCTTTTGAACGCTTTCTAATACATCTTTACTTATTAAAAAAAAAAGGTCCTGGAGATTTTCCTTTTTTTTTTTTATTTATAAATAATTAATTCATTAAAGAAAACGTTCAAAAGGGGAACGCATCCCTAACAAATCACAAAAACCTGGGTGCCCTAAATTTTCCTTATAATCAAATGGAGACTGAGAAACTAAGAGTATTGGCTTCTTGTTCTCGTCCCATAGTTAAAAAGTTTCAATACGTATAAAAAAAAAAAAAAAATATTTAAAAAGTTTCAAGATCACAGAGGGCCAACTTCCACCCCAACCCCCATTAATTCTAGAATTGAGTCAGCATATGTCCCTTTTCCCCATACATGGACGCTATACACAAAAATATAGATATAGGATGTTTGTGATACTTGGGTTAAATTATTGCATGATATAATTTTCTTTTTCTTTTTCCAGCCCAAACGAAACGAAAAGACCACGAACTTTGAGCAAATTAAGTGACACTAGTGCTTGGGAGAGGAGAAGGATTAAAGGGAAGGTTGCTGTTCAGAAAATGGTTGTTGACTTGATGGAGTTGTATCTGCATAGGCTAAAACAGAGAAGGTCTCCCTACCCGAGGAGTCCTGCCATGGCTGAATTTGCAGCTCAATTTCCTTATGAACCCACACCAGATCAAAAGCAGGTATCGTCTACATTCTTTTAGGATTGTAAAAATCTATTTGTGGTCCGCTAGGTGTCTTTTTCAGAGCTAGTAAATATTATTTTATAATATTTTTATTTGGTTATGTTACTCATTTATTGGGTGATGAGGAATTAGATTTTTATGTTCTATGATGAAATGCTTTGCATTGGAGGATGCTTCCTTTGGCTGAGTTTGGATAATTCTGACAGGCTTTCATTGATGTTGAGAAGGATTTGATAGAGAGAGAAACTCCAATGGACAGATTAATTTGTGGAGATGTTGGGTTTGGTAAAACTGAAGTTGCACTACGTGCCATTTTTTGTGTGGTCTCAGCAGGGAAGCAAGCTATGGTTCTAGCACCGACGATTGTTTTAGCCAAACAACATTTTGATGTTATTTCAGAGCGATTTTCGGAGTATTTTAATATCAAGGTTGGGCTTCTGAGCAGGTTTCAGGTAAGATAAGTTTTTTGAACTTGGTTTATCATCTATAAGAAGCAAATGATTATTTAGTTGCTGTGGGATCAATATTACAGAGTAAAAATTGTTCAATTCTTTATCAATGTTCTGTTCATTAAGAGGGGAGGCTGTTAGTGTAAGAAGCTATCTTTTAAATAATAGAGTGTTTTGATGCGAAAGATACACTGATGTAGGTTCTTTTATTTTTCTTAACCAAAGTATAATAATATATGTCTTTTCAGGATTCCAATGCATTGTGAGATGTTCTTTTTGTTTTTCAATTTTTTATTTTATTTATTTTTTATAATAGTAATTACTCTCTATTAAACTATGCTTAATGTTGAGTTGTCTTTTCAATTCACTTATTTTGCACGGTGGTTTTATGTGATCTACTTTATTTTTCTACTATTTTTCAATCTCTTCCCAAAGTTCATGCATTTCAATCATTGACAGTAATGCTTATATTAGAATAAGTTGCTACTAGGAATTGTATTGATTGTCCTGAATATCTAACAACTAGAGTTTGCATAAGACGTACAGTTCATAAGGGACCATTGCTTGATGTAGTAGTAAAATAAACTACAGTGAAGCTTAAGATCGTGGGCTTTAAATATGAGGGCAGTCACTTTTTGCAAATACTAATGAACTTTAGGTTTTTACCTAATCCAACCCTCCCAGCATTTTTCATTGACAGGCTGGGGAATGACCACTTTAGGTTTTTACCTAATATAACCCTCCCAGCAATTTTCATTGGCAGGCTGGGTAATGACCACTTTAGGTTTTTACCTAATCCAACCCTCCCAGTATTTTTCATTGGCAGGCTGGGTAATGACCTCCTTTAGGTGCAATTTGTCATCATTTTGTTGCTCTACTCTAGGACAAAATCTCTTAACTACCATATGTTAGAACTGACGAGATCTCCTACAATATGCAGACGAAGGCAGAGAAAGAGGAGTACCTGCATATGATTAAGCATGGGCATCTGGACATAATTGTTGGGACTCATTCACTTCTTGGTAGTCGTGTTGTGTATAATAATCTAGGCCTCCTTGTGGTTGACGAGGAACAGGTTTGCTTCCTTAACTTTTATCCTATCATTTGAATATAATCCTCTGCTTGTTTACCTGTATTATTCCTTGCATAACCTTGCGATAAGTTCACAATGTTGTCAATGATAAAAGAGACTCCTAGATTGGCTTAGGTGATGCCAAACAAGTAAAGGCAAACTTTGCGATTAGTAGTGTTATATTCCAATCTTGGTCTTCTTGTTGGTGAGGTACATATCTGCCTTTTGTTGGCTAGCATACATAAGCTATATTTTCTGTAAGTAGTGCTTTTATTCATGATGATAGAAATGCATGGTTAGATAAAATCAGTAGGTTGTTTTCTTTTACTTAAATATTTACTTTTTGCCTTTTTGGTAAATTACCCTCCGACCTTTGAAAATCATTCCTTCAATAATCCTGTTAGAGAAGTGGTTTTGGAGATTTGGGGTGGAGAGGAGTAGACTCTCGAGGAGGGTCATTTGTTTGAAGTTTGGAGAGAAGATCATTGGTGTGGAGATCCATCCTTAGCTGGCTCCTATCTGAGGCTTCTCAGGATTGCGATAGGCAGACATGCCATGATTGTTAACTGCTATCCTCTTGATAGCAGAGGGCTGACATGGGGTGTGCAGTTTTCCAGACAATTTCAGGATTGGGAGTTGGAGGACATTTATGATTTTTTGGCAATGATTTACTATCAGTGGGTGGAGGGTGTGGGGTCAGATGAGTGGTTATGGATCCCCTCCTCTGAGGAGAGTTTCGGGGTGCGCTCTTTCTACATGAGATTGGTGAGTGATCAGGCTATTCCTTTTCCATGGAAGGCCGTGTGCCGCACAAAGGCCCCCCTGAAAGAGGCCTTTTTTGCTTGGACAGTGTTTTTGGGCCAGATCCTTACGATAGACAACTTGAGGAGGAGAGGTCATGTTATAGTGAATCGGTGACACATGTGCAGGAGGGATGAGGAGACGGTGGATCACCTTCTTCTCTAGTGCCTGGTGGCTCGCGATTGTTGGGATATGTTTCTTGGCCTCCTTGGGGCACATGGGTTATGCCTCTTTCTACGAGGAGTGCACTTGAGGCTTGGAGAGGTCACATTGTGGGAGCTCGGGTTTGTGATGCTTGGATGGTTGTACCTCTGTGTTTTTGGCGGTCATTGTGGAAGGAAAGAAATAGGAAGGCCTTCGAGGGAGAGGAAACTCCTATTAGTGTGCTTAAGTTCTCTATCCTTCACACTTTATTTTTTTTGGCTTCAGGGGAGAAATTGTAAATCTATAGGGGAGTTGGTGGATTTTGTGGAGAGTTTAGGGGCCCTATGTGGTCCTTGTGTTGCTTGTGGGATGCACTCTCCTTTGAGCTTCGTCTACAATACTTATAGAAAATAATAATAATAATAATAATAATAATAATGATAATAATAATAGCCAACCTTCCTTAAGGCTACGTTTGGTGTGCAACTTAGAATGGAATGAGAATGAGAATGGAATGGAATGAGAATCTCATTCCATTGTTTGGTGTGATACGGTGAATCGTTATGGAATGGAATGATTTTTATCATTCTATTGTTTGGTTGACTATCATTAAATTTGGAATGGAATGATTTTTCTCAAAAAGACCCTTTTCGTTGGCTTACATTACTTTTTAATAAAATCAATCTAATTATTTTATGCTATCATTGCTTCATATATAAATGTTCGAAGAGAGAAAGATGGAGAAATTACATAAACATTTCAACACAAAGATACAAAAAAAAAAGAAAAAAAAAAAAGAAAAGAAAAGAAAAAGAAAAAAGTGATATATTCAGAAAATAAAGAGATTAAAACCTGCAATTTGGTTGAAAGTCCTGCAACTTTTTGTTAATGGCAGCTCTGAGTGTATTCAGAAGAGAGGGAAGGTGAAAGACCTTTATCACGTCTAATAAAGAATGTGAAAGATTTTTTGTCTATGCCAAAGATTTTTGCCTTATTGGAATGTGACGAAGGGCTTATTGGGAATATTACAAAAATATTTAATCTTACTATGAAATGGAATGGCCATTTCATAGGTTTAGTAATGGAATGGATTTTCATTCCAATGGAATGGTCATTCCTACACACCAAACAAATGAATGGTTGGAATGGGCATTCCATTCCTACATACCAAACATAGCATAAGGTAATCACTCTGACCACCCCTGCAGTCAGTCAACCATTATGCTAGTCAATGGATAAATTTTAAATTCTGAAAATACCTGTTATATAAATGCCCCTACTAACTTTATGAAATTACCATTTGAACCAAATTACATATACATACATATATTCCTCGCTGTCCCTCTCCCCCTGATGCCACCACCTCTCTCCCCCCCACCCCGTCTCTCACCACCACCACTTCTCTCTGTCTCTCTCTCCACCACCACCTCCTCTGCTTCCACTCTCTTTCGACCTCTCTCTCCCCACTACCGCCACCCCCCAATCCATATCACAATCTCCATATTAAATGTATACTTAATTTCTAAGAGAGAGATATATATATATATATATATATATATATATATATATTTGTACTATAAAACTAAGGAAAAAAATTAAACTGATATAATCTGGGTGAAGTGACTGATGTATTTGGTACTGTGAAACAAAACCACAGGAAGGGAGGAGCAGTTTCAGTTGATTCTCTTATATGCTCTCACTTCTTCTTATGCGTATATAATTACTGTATCACCACCAAAGAAAGAGTTTGCATAGATGCAGTGACTAATGGCCTAGGCAGCACCCATTAAAAGGATTGCAACTGCGATTTACTCTTCCATTTGCATTAGGAAGACAACTCCGTAATTTCTATCACACTTTGTGCCACAGCTGCACCTGGATCAAGAATCACTGATTTCGTAATGGATTTGGTGGAGGCGGTGAAGAGAGACAGGTCGCAGTGGGTGCTGTGGAGGATACATATATTTATATATAACCATTATGCGCATGTAGAAATATAGTAATATGTAATATATGTATATTAAATCTATATTGGGAGGATATATATATGACCTTTGTATGTGAGTATAAATATAGTAATATGTAATATATGTATACTAAATTTATATCTAATTTTTAATAATTTACTTTGCTTACATCATTTGTGAGGTAATGAAACATGATTATCAAAAGTGATGGCATTTGTGTACTATCATAATGGGTGTTAATGGTGATAATGGTTCTAACTCTAACGGGGGGTGTCACAGTGATTTTCCTAAAAGTTTCATCTGAGGTTAATTTTGTTAAACAAGTTTTTATGGATAAGGTGCCATTGCTATTTTGAGGGCCCTGATGGCAACACGGGGAAAATCCTTGGGGTGGAGTTTGGTGTGTATGTATATCCATACATACGTGTGAACATTTCTTTTGGGAAGGGGAATATATATGTGAAAAGGTATTTTTGCCATAGGTAACTAGTGTGAACTATGTTTCTCAAAAATAATTAACTGCTGGAAAGAACGTTTCTTTTTTCCTGGAGCTTAATTTCCTATAATTGAATTAGATAAGGATGGTTTTGTAGCACCATATTTATTGAAAATGAAAGCAGAAGAGGACAAATGTCAACATCAGTGTCAAAACACCATCATCCTTGTATTAATAAACAAATTCCTTGCCCAATGGTTAATAAGAAAGTGTCTGGGAGCAGAGTATGAACTTTGAACACAATAGTTCCCTGATTCCTTTCTTTTTTCATTTTTTTTTTTTTTTTTTTTTTTTTTTTTTTTTTTTTTTTTTTTTCCTGATATGGTTTTTGATTATCTTTCCTGACCATTGGAGAGATCCTTGACTTGCATGTGCAATGCTTCTTTGCCTTTTACAGAGGTTTGGTGTCAAACAGAAGGAGAAGATTGCTTCATTCAAAACTTCAGTTGATGTTCTCACTCTCTCTGCAACACCTATACCAAGAACCCTTTATTTAGCATTGACTGGGTTTCGTGATGCTAGGTAATGAGTGGAAATTCCATTTAATATAGTAGTTGAGCTGCTATAATTTTAGAATCTTTAGTTGAGTTTTAGAATTTTTAATCAATTTTGTTATTTTCAAGGTAAACATGAAAATATAGGGAGTTGTGGGTCTGTATAATTAATGGAAGTTGAACCTATAGAAAATATTATTCATGGTTTAAAAGGTTAAATCCCCTTCAGTAAGTGCTCTTACAACCTTCACCTGTTCATAGGAGTGAAACAGAAATGTGTATAATACAAGAACAAAATGCCGGATTGGCAGTTTTGAAATGTTTGGCCATTGTGGCATGTTTTAGAATTTGTACAACTTATTGGGGACTAGTTTGGATTAACAGTATCATGGAAACTGCATCATGTATTTTTTATCAATACATTAATAGTAAATTATTTTTCTGTTCAGTTAGAATATTCATAGGTATAAATATTGTCTATGCCCAGGGTTGGTTGTAATAAATGCTCCGCGAGTATTCAGAAAAAAAAAAAAAAAATGCTCCGTGAGTAGAGAAACTAACGCTATGAGAACAAAGGATTGCCAAGACATGACTAAAATGGATTCCTTACTCATTTGCTGTGTGCATGTGACTTGTCTCATCCTATTAGAAAATTTTGACCGACAACTTCTTAATCCTAAAATTGACTGTGCTATTATACCATGCATTTTTCCCCTCAGTTTAATTTCAACAGCACCTCCTGAAAGAGTTCCTATAAGAACCCATCTTTCAGCATACAGCAAGGAAAAGGTAATTTCAGCAATCAAGTATGAGCTGGACCGTGGGGGCCAAGTTTTCTATGTTTTGCCTCGTATCAAAGGTAGCCCCATTACCATTTTGAATATAATATACAAAGTAATGTCGTTTTCATTTTGCATTAGTAGTACGTTGTTTAACATTCACTAATGTGCCTTTGTTTGAGTCGCAACTGATTTTATTTTTTTCCTGCTAATATTTAAAGATAGAAAGAGTAAAAATAAATAAAATTTCACAATTATCACCCAGTAATTGAGCTTTTCCATTCACTTGCCAAGTTTACCTTTTACTATTACTTTTATATTTTGGTTTCCTGATGATGATTTCACCACAATTACAGGACTTGAAGAAGTGATGGAATTTCTTGAACAGTCATTTCCAAATGTGGACATTGCTATTGCTCACGGAAAGGTGACTTTTCTCTAATTTCTTATGGGTATTCTTTAAATTGGCTTGCACTGATTTCAATTTAAGCCACAGAATGGAACTTCCCTGTTATTATAATCAGCAAGCTCCCTGATTTTAAATTAAAGCGTTGTAATATTTGTGACTGTACTTTTAGTTTGAAACTGGAATTTTATGTCCGAATTGTTTCTAGAAAAGAAAAGAAATGCTATTTGTATCCTTGTTGTTAGTATGGTTGTCTAATTACTATAAACAGGTTGGCTGGTTCAGTGGCTGCAACATGTCCCGAAAATGGGTATAATATGAAGTGGCAAAAGTACGTTTTGTGAAAGTAGATGAGAAACTTTATGCTCCAGTGAAAATGTCTATCTTCTACTCACTTGTTCTCTTAAATCTTTGTTATACTTCAATAATTTTTACTCGTCCTCTGCCTCATATAATTATTCTTATAGTTAATCTGATGGAAGAATAATAAGAAGGTTTTCCTCTTTCTACTATAGATGAAAATCCCCTTTGTCACTGCATTCTGTTTAATTACTTTAGGGAAATTACACTAAGCTCCCCAAGAATTTAAGCTGTTATGCGCACACAAAACTTATTCAAAAATTGTGCTAAACTTTCTTTGAGGTTATCTTGAAAATGCAGATTCCGTATGCCATTGATGGTCCATTTACTCCATTTAAAATGTTTTCCTTCAATGTCAAAATCGCCATTCTTTCACTTTAATATATATATATATATATATTTATATTACAATTAAGTTAACTTTAATCAAATATTTTATTAAATATCATATAACTGATTGCACATGCAAAATTTGCAATTAAAAAAAAAAAAATGACTCCTGAAATATTTGGAAAAGAATATTGACAGTAAATTTTTAAAAAGATTTGGGAAAAAAAAATTACTCCCAAAATCTGGCCTCCTTGTGATTGGATTTTGACGAACTGTTTGCTTGGGGTGACAATTTGTGTTTCTATGTCATAGTTGTGTTGTATTATAATTTGAGTATCTTGTTATATGGGTTGACACAAACACGACAATTTTATCATTCGTGTCAAGGAACCTCGACACAAACATGACATTATTATTAAACAGGTAACATGACACGACTCACGTAACCAGTTCAATATATGGTTGAAAATTTGACCCAAGAAGACAAAACACAACATAATTAGAATTCCATACTAGTAGGGTCATTTCAACCCTTTTGCTACTTGTTTAATTTAAACGGGTTAGGTCATATTCATATTGACCCGACACATTTAGTTAAAATTGTGTAATTTAACTACAAATGGGTTGGCGTGTCAAACACGAACACAACACCTTTAATTAGCATGTCAATTCGGGTTGATACAATGATGATCCAAACATGATCAACTCTCCCCCCCTCTCTTTCTCTCTCTATCACGGTTCACGCACACGAACACGATGGATTCTTGGCCCTCTTCTTGCCCCTTCTAGTCCACGATATCTGTAATGCGTGGGTTTGTTTTTCTCTTATATTCGGTATATTTATGTTTGTATATTTATGGGTTCAATTTCATTTCCTTTCTGCTTTTTTCTCTAAATATTTTTGATCATATTATTCTAGTTTCCCATTGTATAATAAATCAAAGTTCCAACTGTGAGTATTGTGGCGGATCCAAGGCTAGTGGTGAAGGAGTTGTGTCTGAGAGGGAGGAGATATAACAAAAGTGAGAGACTAGAGAGAATGCGTTGTTGGCTTGAGGGTATTTTGGTCATTTGAATTTTGTTGACTTTGATCTTTTATATTTAATTAGTAGTAAAACTTGACATAGTATAGATATAATTTGAAAATCAATTTGCCAAATTCTAAAATATGTATACTTGGGGTAAAATGGGAAAAGGCCATGAGTTTTTGGGACACTATTACTTTGTTTGGTAAGAGGGATGAAAAGGGAATGGATATGAGTAAGGGCAAAAAAAGGCATCCCTAGGGAAGAGAGGGTGCCCATTTCTCCTTTTGTTGGTGAGTGGAAGGGAAGAAAAGAGGTGATTTTACCCTTAATTAATTAAATTAATGCTTAAGTGAGAGTTATGAAGTCTTTTTGATTTAATCCATCCAATATTTATTTTTTCTCTCTCCTCTTCCTTCCACTTTTGGATGTAAGCAAAATGGTGGGCCAAGAGGGATACTTCATCCCTCCCCACATCCTTTCCTCTCCCCTCTATCAAACAATGGAAGCTTGCTTCATCCCTCCATTCCTTCCCTCCACCAAATGTAGGCTAACATTAATTCTAGCTCAAGGTAGCCCCATGAGTTAGTATAAGGCCTCTGGGCATGACCTAGGTTTTGTTCAATAGCTAATACCCATAATGTGGAAGTGATTTGTGGGTATCCGAATGGATTTGTTCTGCCCCCCAAAAAGGGTGGGGACACCCTCTGTTATTCCAAAATAATAATCATAATAACAACTCAACATGTCAGAATTATTTCCATGAAAGTTCTATACGTGGTTGTCAACTTATGTTACATGTACTTTAGTATGAGAGTATTGGGTGCGTGTGTTTCCATGTATACCTTCCCGACTCCCAAATCTTTCAGCATAGGAAAATGTGTCCAAAAGTTGGATACAAGTACCCATAAGGCAATTTAGGTGGACACCTAAGGCCCCCAATAGGAGCAGAGGCCCATATCTCATTCTATTAGTTAGATATTTCTTTTAATGAATTAATTATGCTTCGTGTATTATATTAATTACCAAATAAACTCTGGAGTGAGGTTTGTGGTGGTTGCAGCTGATTACTTAACGGAGAGAGCTTGACGTGGTAGAGACGTGGTCGGGGTCTACTACTCAGACTAGTCACAGGAGTCATTAACTCTGGTGAAATCCTCTACTACTTTTTTTCGCTGCTCTCTCTCTCTGTTGGGTCTGTGATTCGTGGTTGCTGTTGGATGTTTGTCTGGTTTGGTTCTTTTTCTTTGTCATGCGCTTTTTCTTGGAGGTTGCTAGATTGCCCCGCTTGTTCCAAGGTGGATCTACTAGATCTGCAAATCCGTATAAAGGACCATCGATTTTCTTGGATGATGATTCGGTACGAAGATGAAGAGAGACCTTCGGTTGTGTCTGGTAGGGAAATTTGATAAGGAAGTGGGTGATGGGGCTCATATTGCAGTTTGGGCCTCGCGTGCTTGGAAGGTCTCCTCTGGCGTGACGGTCTCACCTCTGTCGGATTCTTTGTTTCTTTTTCGGTTTCCCTCCTCGACGGAAGCTTCTCGAGTTCTCAAGGGGGGTCGCCATGACTGGGAACGGCATCTCTTAGTTTGGAAGCTTGGAGTTTTAGGGTAGGGTTTTCGGAGGTGTTGAAAGAGAAGGGGCTGAAGAAGGTGACGCTGTACGGTCTTCCTCTCCACCTTTGGAGTCATGCTATGTTCGTGACAGTCGGCGATCTTTGTGGTGGGTTTATTTGGGTGGATGCTGATGAAGCTTTGGACGCTGAAAGAGTCTGAATCACCGTTTCTGATGGTAGGGTTTGCCCTCCGTTTGTGTTCATTCATGATGACCAGTTCTGTTATAAGGTGTCTATTTAGGAAGAGAAGCATCCCGAGCTTGTTCTGATGACAGATAGCTTGGAAGGCGGTGATGGTTCGCACTTGCTTTGGGAGAATAATGGCTGCGGTGGGAATCCATGGTGAAAAAAGGAATGGTAGAGTTCCAGGTTTGGAAGGAATGTAGAGATGCGCTATGGATTCGTAATTCGGAGTGCTTTAGAAGGATCTTCAAACATAATCGAAAGGAAGGGCTTCCTTTTTTGCCGAATCGCCGACTGTAAGAAGGGTTTCGGAATATGCAGTGGGGCAAAGGTCTTGCCGGAAATGGTCGTCGGTTTTTTTTTGTAGCAGTGGGATCAATCAAGACGACGTGGTGGTTTCTGTTAGAATGTTATATATATATATATATATATATATATATATATATATATATATATATGTTAGGCCATTATGTAATTACATTATGTTAGTAGGGCCCTTGTGTTATTAAGGTGACTTGTATCCTTTATATAAGCTTATGTAGGCTTATTAGGTTACAGTTGTGTGAAATATAGTACAAGTTCTCTCTCTCTGTCTCTCATGATAAAGAACATGGTATCAGAGCTCTACGAATTCATGGGTGTGAGGGTCTGTAATTGTGTGGTTTAAGATCGGAATCACGATCGGAATCGCGATTGTGGTGTTGGTGTTCCTGCTTTCTTCGTTCGTCGCCGGCAGCTCCTCGTTCACTGTCATCAGATCTGCATCGTCATTCGTCGTCGTCAGATCTGCATCGTTCGTCATCGTCGTTGCCGGCAGCTTCTTTTTGGTTGTCAGCGAACTCGTCATCAGATCTGCCTTCTTGATTTACAGAGGTGAGGTTCATCAAATTGTTCTTTTTTGGCCGGAAGTTACAGAGGTAGCTGCCTCTTGATTCGGCTGTTGCTTGTGACTGGGTCGCCATTGTCTCCGCTGCTTTGTTCGTCGGCGTTTGTGACAATGTGAAGAAGAAGACCCTTGTTTGGTTACATGGTTATGCTATTCCAATCTTGGTTTACTAAACATGGAATAGCTATTCCAACCTTGGTTTACTAAACCTGGGATAAGATCTGGCTCGATAGCCCAGATCCGGCCCGTTTGCCCAGATCCAGCCCGTTTGCCCATTCTTCTTGGGTTTGGAAGACTCTGAAGCCTACTTGTGTTGTTGGGCTAGGTAATGGGGCTTTAGTTTCTTGTGATGATGCGCCTTTATCTGTTAGGCTGCTTGTTGGGCCTTCAGTTTCTAAAGATGTTTTTGTTGGTGGGTCTTCGGGGTTGAAGAGTGGGCCGAGTTGTGGATTTGGGTTGGTTTTGTCGAATAGGTTTGAGCCTTTGTCTTCCTCGAGGGATGATAGTGATCCTTGTGCTACTGGTTCGTTGAAAGCGAGAGTCAAGGTTGATCGGCGAGTTAAGGATCCAGTGCTGGACATCGTTTGCCTAAGAAAAAGATTATCCTTCCCGCTCTTCGCAA